TTAAAGATCACAAGTAAACAAATAACCTGTTGAAAGCCTTCAAGTGCTTCCCTGTTTCTTCATATTGATAGAAGGATTACTAACACATCATAAAAACAATATAATTTCACGGTAGAAAACATTTCTTTCAGCAGCGAGAAGAAAAAACAGGTTCTCTCTTTTCTGATCGAGTCATGTTTTCTCTATATACACCTACAATCAAAGAAACACTAGTTAAATGAAAAGAAATCTAATCAAGCATATCATTCACTTTCCTTTAGATCAACTCTCTTCCTGTTTTTGTTTTTCTTTCTCAACTTTGAAATGATATAGAAACGAATCAGCAATTTCAAGAAAATAATTGCTTCTATTATTTCAGGTGCTCAACGCAAAAAAAAGGACGAAACAAATTGATCGATTGAAAGGTGATAAATTCTGTTTCTTTTTGCCAGGCATTGCTTGAGTATAAGGTGTTAAGTTCAACGTTTGACAAGTGTGTGAAGAGAGAAAGAATGAGTAATTATTGTTATGATCATTATAACCTTCAATTCATTTCAATCATCTTTGATTTCAATAAAAATAATCATCAATGAGAACAATGTAAAGAAGTAAATCTCTACATTCTCGTCTCTTCTCTTTGTCTACTCGACAATACAACACATCCAATGGAAACAGCTTGGAATGGTTCATTATAGATCGAATTCGCCATCAATGTTCTTTACTACAATAATGAGAATAACACGTAAGCGCATGTATATACTGTCGCGATCGGAAGATAATTGCTTTGAACACTATCAAAAACAGAGAAACATGTGTGTATGTATGTCTATCAGAAGAAGTCAGACATTGACAATAAAACGCTCATCATATAAGTAAATGAGAAAAGAACGCGCATTTAGTCATGAACGAAGCACTATGATTGCTACTTTTGTGATTACCTTGATTGAAGAGCAAAAATAATCATCTATTCTTTCTATCGATTGACTCGACTGTGTACAGTCGTTACCGTATAATTAGTTTCATGAATTTTGCTTGTCGATTAGTAGCTTTACGGGTCGTGTAGAGACGAGAAAAAGAGCATCTCAAGAGAATCCTTGTGATTATGCATTGTTATAAGATTCAAGAGAGAGGGAGCGAGCGAGAGAGAGAGAAATGTATCTGCGATTGGTCACTTAATTTGTCTTAGGGTGAGAAAGAGAGCGAAGTATTTATATCGTCCGTTCTCGTATCATTGAATGACCGTGAAGTAAAAGTGAAGAATGATTGCTTCCACTTGTTGTATGTGTGAAGGACCTGCTTGGCGTGTGTATACTTCTACTTCGGGTTCAATATCCCAAGTGAGTCGGTTAGTGGATAACAACATCACAAAACAAAACATGATTGAACTTCTTTCATAAACATTCGTTTTATATATATAATAGACAATGTCTTTCTTCTTTTTTTATTTT